TGGAACAAACAAACTTGTTTTATTACAAGTGGTCTAGCAATGTAGCATTGAAAATGTTCTTTTGAATTATGAAATACAGACAAAAAACATTATAATATATACAAATGGCCTAACATATTTATCATTATCTGTTGTATCTTTCAATCAACCAAGCATTTATGAAACATTTATTAAAACAATTTGGAAGACAAGCTTACTTTTTAAGTTTCAAAAACTCAAAATCAAACAGAATGGGTTACTAACGGGTCCACCTAATAAACATTCGTATAAATGTAATTGTCGATTATTTTAACTAGTGGTTTTTTACACTTTATTTTTATCATATATCGATCTTTTAAAAGAAGCTACAGTGTAGTTATACAGAAATATAGTCAACTTTCCTAACTTAAATTTTAGGCTGCTGGAAATAGTTGACTGACCTTTTTAGCACAATGAGTTTTATTAAAAACATGTGTATCAATAACTGTGTTTATATGTTATTCGTATTAAAACTTAAAGTGTTAGGAAAAAATAAGATGTCTACTGTTTGCGGGTAAGAACACAAAAGTAACCACATAGTTTATCTTAACACAAACAGTAACATAACTGCGAAATCCATATGATACACTTTAAGCGTCGTTATGACTTAATACTCCCCACGACACTGATGACCAAAGTAAGTCGAAAAGTTGTTTCTTGTTTTGTATTTTAAATAAAAGTTTTTAATACCTATATCAACCGTTTCTACTATATGTTTACTTCAATAAGTTCCTTGACATCATGATATACATAATCTATTCATTTGTTTGTTGGAGATCATCATCTCATTGTCACGTGATCCACAGTCATAAGCCATACTGTATATTCCCATGTAATGTTATCTATAGCGATTGATAGTTACATTACGTCATTGTATCAGTATATATTGTGCAAGTTTAACGTTCCCGAATCCTTTGTTATTATGTCAATAGCTTTGGCTGAAATCGTAATTTTCAAAGATTTGAAATAACATTTTTGACAAGTGGAGTATGACCTTAGTGAGTCTAACTCACCGTTTTCTGTCAGTTTCGACAAGAAGTGTTATGGACATTTAGCATTTAGATAAATGTTTATTCATAGAAAATTAGCTAAATTGAAATCAATTTTTTTTTCTTTCTGAAGCCATTTTTATGTCTTTGTTTTCTTCTTTCATTACGTTTTTGTTTAATATTTTTAAGATAATAGCTTTTGTACCTTTCCTTTCTTATCAAGTTTCTGCATCCTCACCGAAAAGTAAAAATAAAAGAATGGTAAAAAATCAGTATGGTGTAGATGTATAAGAATGTATAATAGTGTTTCAGGTGTACTTTGTTTTATATCACTGCCAATGATACCTCCTCTCAATACCAAAGCTCGCCAGGCTGGTTGTATTGCAACATACAAGGTTGCAGCTGAAACGCTTTAGTTATATCAGTCGCGGTTATGAAGTAAGTTTTAGTGTAACGCCTTATACACTCTGCTTACTAAAAACCCGTATTTGGCCATTAAAGAACGATGTGTTCTAAAATACCGTCAATGTCATTATGACTTAACACCACACACACACATATAACTAAAATATGGTAAGCTTCAAGTGTTTCCTTCTATAGTGAGATACCAATCTTAATTTTACTTAAAACAATGTCTTGAAACATAATCAATGAGACATGATTATTTACCACTTTTTAATGATATTCTTAGATTAAACAGTTAACAAATTTGTCTCAATTCAGTGCTGAGAGTGACATAACTTCCTTAAGTTGAAACAGATTATTAATTAATTAATTAACTTCTCTAGTATTATTAATCATGTTTTAGACCCATTGAAGGGCAAAACTCTCCCACTCACACCCCCCTCCTTAGATAGGTTTTTGTCCTTTACAATTTATTTTGTGTCGCCTCCTTTCTCTATCAGACTTGGAACTATTTGTAGAACGTGACCCTGCCTAGTTCAGCATAACGTGCTGTAGGGGATAAATTGACTTTCGTGATGAACAGCTAACAGAATTGCTGACTGTACTGAACAGAGACGTTCTGTGGTTACATTATTACGCTCCAACACTTCCTCGCTTGCCTGTCCAACAACAAAGTCTTGTGATAGTTCTACTGTAGCAAGCTATGTCATGTTGAGGCTTTAGTTCTTTCCTCACAAAAGAAAAACTTTCTAGAGTTTTGTATGAAACAACCTGAGCTTTGATCAAATTCACTGTAGACAACAAAGAGATAGACTCACAGATATGTGACAGTTACATAAATTCAAAAAGAAAACAACAGATAGATAGATGAGTAGAGAAGACAATATATGCATGAATATAAATATGGAGAGGCAAAACAACAAAGGAGATTATTTCATATAATATACATGTACACACACATAGCTAAAACGTAAAATGTCTTGTGAAATATACTGTCACATAAAAACGCAGTGCACTAAATTTGGCAATGTTATAAAACATTATAAACAATATGATATTAAAATATTTAACTGGATAATTTTCAGTTTGATATATTATGTTAAACATGTTTTATATGTTTTATCTTTGCTCACTTTTCAAACTTTGGAGTTACCATCATTTATCCATTACCTTTTTATCACACTTTGTACAAATTTTATCTCAAACACATGTGCTGGTAAAGAAAATTTCATCTTTATGAATCATTCATTAGAGCACCAAGCTAAAGAAATGAAATTCATTTATTTGTTTTCATTAAACGTGTTCATTTTAATTTGTGATCAATAATGTATTGCACCTCGTAGCAACAATTCATTGGGAGCGTTCTAATACTTACAGAGAAACACATAAACGATATATCTATCAATATAAGTGTGTGTTTATATATATATACAGATAGATACATATGGCAGAATTACACGTTGACATTTTATATTGAAACGAAAAATAGATAGGGAGAAAGACAGATAATTGAAAATAATAAACAGTAACATGGATAAGTGAATAGAAAGATGTGTGGATAAATAGTCAAATGTTTATCTAAGAAGAGAGAAGACAGAAATCATGTATATATATAACTAGCGAAAGTACCTGGCTTCGTTTGGATTATTAAGTTGATTTATTCTAGATGACTATGTTAATATGTGTATTGTAAACCCATTTTAGCATAAAAGTATAACCTATATACTTTTGTTGCTCCTTTACGGGATGTGGTCTGTTTATAACAATAATCTTCCCTCTGACTTGTCTTCCGATTTTAAACTTAAAAATAAACCTCTTTAATTAACAGAGCTCCTAAATTAGAAAACAACAAATATATTTTCAATTTTGTAGTTTATACATTCCATTTTATACTTTTAGCACATAGCCTCTTAACAACAATATTAGGTTATACTGTTATTGCTAAGCAACATGATATAAAAGGGCATTGTTGGAAAGCATTGTTATCAAAACGCACTGGCTTTTCAATTTATTAGAAGTTGTTATATACGGAACCACTTCTTTTCTATTGGTTTTTCGCCAGCTTGCCTCATTAAAAAGATGCGCATGCACACACGCACGTTCACATTTCTTTTCTAAGTGTTTTGCGCATAAAACGATGCGCAAGCTCATGCACGCACAGACGTAGATTAGTAATAATACCTAGGTGTACACTCTCAGGGTCCACTTAGTATGGGAGCAAAATTTCAGGTTTCTAGGTTCTTTGCTCTTGGAGCTATGGCGGTCACATTTCTTTTCTATGTGATTTTTTCAGATAAAAAGATGCGCATGTAGATAAGTAATAATACCCATGTGTATAGAATATGAATTATGTGATGTGCTTTTCGATTTATAAGTATTTCATTAAAATACAAAATTAAACTTAGTACGTCTTGATCTGCCTTCTATTATCTAAAAATACAATAAGAAAAGGAAATATGTAATATTGAGATTAGTACTTGTATGAGTTTTGATTAAGCTGATTTCGTCTTTAAAGCTATGCATGATGGCAAGTAAATTTATAAATTAATTAAATAATCTGTAGAGTGTATGTTATTAATAAACGTGTTTTATTGACGTTTTTCCTTCTTACTGTATGTATCTAATGATTCAACACGAATTCTTAAGTAATGATTCGACCAAGTAAACCTCAAGTAGCAGTTGCTTCTTATGTATTGAAATCAAAACTTTATGTTGCTGCATAATAGTTGGATTTAGAGGTTAGTAATAGGTATCGTCAATTCTACGTTGTACTATTTCTGAAAACCAATATTTTGTGATAAAAGTGGAAAAATTACATGAAGTATAATTGAATTTCGTCATTATCCAATCTTGTAGTGAAATAGATGCGATAATCAAAAACAAACACTTAAAATTATTATTTTATTGTTAAAGAGGGTTAATGTTAAATGTATATATTATTTAATTAATAGAGTTTAGTTTTGTTCTATAATAATCTAATTTATTGATTTTTCTTAGGGTTTGTAATTGGAAATACTGTTAGTCAATATTTGGATTATAATTCAAACTATGTTTTTTTTTCTCTATTTTTTACTCAAACTTTTAATTCTAAGTTCATACAAATTTAGAAATTTATGTTTTTGAACTAATGTTCATAGCCAGGTGGTTAGGGAGCTTGACTCGCAATCTGAGGGTCGCGGGTTTGAATCCCCGTCCCACCAAACATGCTCACCCTTTCAGCCGTGGGGGCGTTATAATATGACGGTCAATCCCACTACTCGTTGGTAAAAGAGCAGCCCAAGAGTTGGCGGTGGGTGATGATGACTAACTGCTAAATTAGAGACGGCTAGCGTAGGTAGCCCTCGCATAGCTTTGTGCGAAATTCAGAACAAACCAAAACCGTATCATGGTCTTAGTTTTTCTGTATTTGTAGACCATAATGAAATATCTTACCCACGATCCTCTCTTAATGAGAATAGTCTTTTTATATAATTAGTAGAATTCTGATTTATTTTATTTAAGCTTACTTGAGTAAAATAGACCTATGCAACAAAAATACGTAGTTCAGTTTTATCAAGTTATTTGTGTTCTTTTTTCATTTTGTTTTAGACGTAAGGACAAAATCTATTGGAAGGCGTAAGAGAGAAAAAAGACACGGGAGCAATCACTGCCATCGATGTTAACCCTTAAAGCGATCAAAGATCTTTTAAAATTTTCAAGATCTTCAACTCAAGAATATGGGAACACGAAAAAAGAAGGTAAGTCTTTGGTGCGAGAGATGAAAAATGTTCTCTGAGAAGATAATTACTATAACCTTATGCTTTTAAGAGCGGTATTCTAAAGTAAAATATTTTTTATTCGAATTAAGAACATCAACGACAGCTCAAGCAGGGTATGTTATTGTAGGCTGTGATTATTGTCGCATACTTTGCTAAAGTGAATAAAACCAAAATGTAACGCAGTAATATCTGACATTGCAGAGTTTACTCTAAGTAGTAAATGTAACTGAATATTTACCAAAGGGTCTAAGGTCTGAGACGTGAAGCCACTGAACATGTACTGAGAGGTATAAGATCTGAGACGTGAAGCCACTGAACATGTACTGAGAGGTATAAGATCTGAGACGTGAAGCCACTGAACATGTACTGAGAGGTATAAGGTCCGAGATGTGATGTCATTGAACGTGTACTGAAAGATATAAGGACAGAGGCGTGATGCCACTGAACATGCTCCACACTTTTAACTGTGAATGTGTTAGACAAGTAACAGTAATTTTCATTATTCCGTTCACAGAATGAGACAGATACCTTGTGGCAAGAGTTTTGCTGGCTGGCTCCCTCCCTCCATTTGATCAGTAGTTGAAACTTAGGGATGGCTACACCTGAATTATAGCGGTCTCTGTCCTGGCCATTTAACCCACATGCGCATTAGGTTCCGTTCAGGTCGAAAATTCCAGTTCTAATTTCCGATTCTACTGTCTTGAACATTTCATTATAAGATATAGATCATTCGACACAGATTATATCTAAGTTAATATTTTATAAACGGAAAAACCGCCATGTTAGTTAATTACAAAACGTTCTGAATAGCTAAAATACCTCACATAGTGCTTAAATGCCTTAATAGGATATATGATTTTCTCGGATGTTTACAGACAGACTAGTAAACGTGATGTCATAAGTTCAAGACATGAACTGCAATAGTGAAATTCATTAAACAAAGAATATATCCAAGACATTAAAGATGAACTTAAAACACCCCGGAATATCTTAACGTTTATGAGTTAAACTACAGTCAATAACATTTTGACAGGAAATAACGTAAACAATGTTGTGATAGTTTCTGTTTATATTATTGCATATATATCACAGCATTATGAGCGTGTTAGTCTATAGTAAAAATGTGTGTGAGTGTTTTCAATGCTTAAAGCGTTTGAAATAACAATAACAATCAAAATGTAACGGAACATAAATTAGTATTCTATTACTAACATTAACACTAGTATAAAACTGCCAGTACTGCGTATTTCTAAACCCAAAGCATAAGAACTGTAACTGAAAACCAAAATGCATAAGTAACCATTTTCTGCTTCAAGGCACACTACAATACTTGTTGAGAAATGTTGGGCCTGGTCCTAAAAAAATCGCCCTAAGGTAACCTAGAATTCTTAAATTCAGACCCCTTTCTTATCTCCCTTTTTTGTCAATCCTGTAAACAATGAACGTTCTTTACCAAAGCAATAGATATGGTTTCTATTTACACTAATCTTTTTTCCTTTCTCCCTTTTAAAAATTATGTTATAACAACAAAATACAATAAGCATTTATTTATAAAAACACAATGAATAACAGAAAATAGTATTTTCGAGTAGTAAACGTTTTTCTCACATGAACAAGAACGATATTAAAAAATTCACTCAATGAGGCTTTATTCCCATTTAGGTGTGAGAGTTAAATTGGTGTTTGTTTTCTTTGTACACAATTTACTCTGATATTGTAATATTATGTTTGACGTTTCCTAACTTTCTGATTAGATTTAGTACTCGGATTTTTTTCACCTGTTGATTGAGTAAATTGTGACATAATAGTTTATTGTAAAGTTGCTTTATATTCTTTTTTTCAGAAGTAATATTTCAAACATGGTACTAAGTTTCTTAAAATAGGCATAAAGATATGTCTAATTAATGAAATCAAAGTACCTTTGCAACAACGACAACTAAAATGTCTAGTTTCCAATATTCATCCCCCTAAGTGAATAAAATTCCAATATTTATCTTGTAATAAGCTTAGTTACGTGCCCTGATCTTTGTCTTGTTTTTAAATAACGAGTGGAGAAAAGCTGAATTATTTTACTGTATAAATTCTCTAAAACCATTTTAGTAAACTTTTACTTCTTCTTTTCACCAGACCATGTCACAGTCAGCACTTATCCTTATCGAATTGCTAAGTCTACTAACGTCACGTTCTACTCTCGTCTCAGCTGTCTCAGCAGGTAAATACGTTTTCCTCTTTTTTTTCTTTTTTTTACATTTGGTAAGTAGTATGAGTTACAGCCATCTGTCGAAATAGTTTTGTAAACTGTGTTTTGATTAGCTTTTGATGTGCAAAATGCAACCCGTTGGATCGTCGTCATGGAAACGTTATTGACAGACAGCCTTATACATTATAGTTTAAATAGTTAGTGGAAATAAAAAAAGGTCTTGTAATCACAGTTATAAGCTTGTAAAAGTTCTGAGTTCTATATAAGATGTTTTGGATATTTTATTTGATATCAAATTTTGATCAAAGCAGGCTACTCGTATAGATGAGAACCAAAAATATATCAATATATTAGAATAGCTAATTGAATATACTGTTCAAATTAACTTACTTATAATGATTACAATTAAATGTTTTACCAAATGGGTACCCTCGCTGTTAACGCAATTTTCGACCGTAAACATTTCTTTCACAAAATATCCATCTGAATAAAATAAAGTTACGTGAATAAACACATAAAATATAAAGAAGACAAAGACATAAGAACTAACTGAGCGTTTTATTATCACGAAAACGTTACCTGAGTCAGCAGAAAATATCCAACATATCCAAAGACTCTAACAATCGATGAAGAATAAAACACAACATACACTAAATACAATGCTTATTACAATAATCGTTACTTTACCGGACATCTACCTCTAGTGTCTTATAATAAAGACAACGTGGGTTGAAATGTAGCAACAGAGCGTTAATAAACTCGTTGCAGCGTCTGTTTTGGCACAGCTTACCAAATGAAAGAAACGTTCTATTGTATCCACATTAAAAATGAAGCGAGTGCAAAAGAGCAGACTTCCAGATATAAACAAATCAGATTAACAAGTACACTTACACTTCGGGTATTTGTTCTGTTTTTTTTTTTGTTTGTTTGTTTTTGTTATATACATATATATATAATTGGAAAACAGTTTGACGCGTTATTCACACACACAACATAATATACATGTATATCAATCCAAGTGAAAATATTAAGATTAGTTTCAGTTTAAAATGAAATAGATTATGCAAAAGAAATACAAAAATCGATTATTGAGTAACTAACTTTATAAGTGAGATAATATTATCGTTGGTACCCCCCAGTGGCACAGCGGTATGTCTGTGGACTTACAACGCTAGAAACCGGTTTTCGATACCGGTGGTAGGCAGAGCACAGATAGCCCTTTGTGCAGCTTTGTGCTTAACTACAAATAATCAAACAATTATCCTTCGCCATTGGTTGACGATTTTGGAAACCTTTTAAAGATTTTAGCCACAAGATTTTCCTGTTTACTTTTACGATTACACGAAACTGTTTAACTTTATTTGCCAAAATCAGATAAAGTTAATCACTCTGTTCAAATGGAAGAGGCAAACAAAAGATTATCAAGAAAACTGCAAAGTAATGAATTTTATATACAGTAACAATGATGAAATTATGGCACAAAACCTGCAAAAAAGAAAAAAACATGATTTTTTAAAATAAGGTAACATAACGTAACGCAATATCAGAACACAAGTGATATGATGGGTAAATATAAAATGTATCTTGGTTTTATACGTATATACAAGGTGAGGCAAAAGTTACTATACAGTTGTTGAAGGTGGTATTTATACGGCTGGTAGTGAAGAACATATTACAAAGATAATTTAAACCAATTTATCTATTGCTTGTTTCAGAGTGAGACGTTATAAATTAATCTATAACCTAACTGGAGCAATTGAATAGTCACTTTTCTCCACCCTGTATACAGTGCCTGACAAAAGTACTCATCCCCTGCAAAGTTTCCACATCATGTTATATAGGCTGGTAGTGGTACTAACATGTGTAATGTACTGCTGAAAAGTTTTTATCACGACTAATGTTTCGCTTTTATAAAATTAATTCAGACAGATAGTATAGCTGACTCTGTTTTTAACTATCAATTTACTATACATTTAAATTACTGACTATAATTTTGCTTCTATAGTTAATTTTCATGACATACTTTTTGCATTTCCTAATGTTTTCTATGTAAATCATTTATCACTAATTCATTTCTATAATTCATATATATAACATATATATATATATGTATAATATATTCACCCTAAAAATGACGCTTATTTCCAAATAACATGCAATAATTTCATATGTAGCTTTATAAGTTCATTTATTTTGTTAAAGTCTAAAGGATCTACAAAAATAGTTATGTTTAACCATTACTATTGTAAAAAAATTATAATCTTACCTTTCTCCAGATATTTTCACAAATCTTTGTCGACAACTTGTTTCTTGTTGTCTGAAACTAATAACATATTCCATTTCTATCTGAAAGTCATTAACCTTAAACATAAATGTTAGAAGTAATCTTCAAACAATGTGGAAACTTTAACCTTACTGGACGTTTAGTCTGACTCATCATGACCTTTTACTAAGCTTTTCTGTGTCACTGAATATAAAATTCAATAAACAATGATAAATTACATCTCATGATTATCAGTTTCTAAGAAGTAGGTTTGAAAATATAATACAAATCTCCATTTATATTTCTTATATAAAACTCATGTTTCATTATAGCTTAATAATATATTATCATTATTATATCTAAGTAAAATCACAGACTTAACAAGTATCACATATACTGAAATGTTTAGTAATAAAAGTTCAAGAATTAGGTACACTAATTTACTATTTACGAAGACTACAAACACCTTAACTTATCAGATACTGACCTACATCCCAACGTAACAATATGTGTAGTATATAATTGTTCTGATATGTTATTATTTAAATAGAAATTACAAACACCTTAACTTATCAGATACTGACCTAAAGCCCAACGTAAAAATATATGTGGTATATAACTGTTCTGACATGTTATTAGTCAAATAGAAACTACAAACACCTGAACTTATCAGATACTGACCTATAGCCCAACGTAAAAATATATATGTGGTATATAATTGTTCTGACATGTTATTAGTCAAATAGAAACTACAAACACCTGAACTTATCAGACACTGACATACAGCCCAACGTAACAATATATGTAGTATATAATTGTTCTAGCATGTGATTAGCCAAATAGAATATATCACCATAAACGAAACATAAGGGAAATTCCCAAAGTGATTCGAGCTAATACCATCATAGAAAGTTTCTTCATTTACAAATTCTACAAAACATATCATGCCCTTGAAATCCACAACTAATTTGATTGTCACAATCGTGCTTTACATTAGATGTTTTTGACAATCACATTACACCTCCTCTTTCACTTAAAATTGATGTGTTGTACCATAGCCTAATATGCTATAATCAATATATATATATGTAAGTAAAATCATAGACCTGTCAATATTGCTGTTACTACAGTGAATATCTAATTTCTGTAAATATTATAATGTTTACAAATTCTCAATATCTATGTTAGAAGAATCTAATTTTTACTGTTACAATCAATATTTTGTGTTCTTATATATCAGATGAAATATATTAGTTCTTGTTTTCATTATGTTCATATATTGCATGACAATAGAATAGGCTGATTCTCAAGTTGAGGTCATTGACTGCCATATGACTAATGAACAAAGATCAGAAGGAGAGTCTAACTGAGTAGAAACTATTCAATAATTGTATTTTAACTGAAGTGTACTAGACTTATATGTAAGTTAATAAAATCTTGGCGGTCTAGTATTTTATAAATCATGCATGTTTCAATTCGTATTGTTCTTAAATATCGAAGGATATCATGTTGTCAGTGGAATTTGTCCCTTAGATAAACACAACCCAAATTGTAATGCAAAATGTATGTCATGTAAATTACATTTAGAAGCAAAATTATAATTATACTTAAAAAAACACAGTCAGCTATACTAACTGTCTCATTCAATATTTATAAAAATGAAACATCAGGTGTGATAAAACTTTTCAGCAGTATGTTAAATGTGTTTGTAACACTATTCGCCTATAAACACACATGTAGTACAGTTAATTATATAAATGAAAACTATAAATATAAGTTGAGACGGTTGAAATCTGTATGCAATCCTACTGAAGTATATTAACACTGTCTGCCTATAGAGACATCATCTGTCTTTGCAAAGCACATTAATACAATTAAATATATAAATGAAAACTAGAAACATAAGTTGAGAGAAGTTGGAATCTGTAAGCAATCTTATAAAAATATAGTAACAATTTTTGCCTACAGAACCTTTGTAACAACATTTGCCTATAGTAACAGTTCCTCTGATATGGAACTATGAAGTTACCCATCCCCTAAGACAGCCGCACCCTCCAGTGCCACTTTGTGGAACTATGACGTCATCCCTTTCTGGTGTCTATTACATAACAGTTATGTAACCCTCAGTTGTAGGTATAATTTACATATTATGTAATATTTATGTAACCCTTAGGCGGAATCAATTATACTCCACTTACATGGTGACCTCCCCCCCCCCCCCACCACACACACACACTGAGGCGGCATGCTTTTGCCTCCAGGATAACTACCAGTTACTTTGTTATTTTAATGTTTTTATTTACCCGAGAAATAGCACATAATTTTATTTTTTCAATAAAATTATAAATTGGTATAAGGACATTGCGGGAAATTCGAAATAGTTTAATTTAATGTTATTTATAGTTTACTAAAGAAGAAGGAAATTAAGACATGCATAACTAATTTTGAGGCTATGCTTTTTGTTTGATCTATGGTAGAGGATCTTTTTAATATATTCACTGTACTTCATTTTTTTCACATTAACAACTTTTTAATTGAGCTATTTTAATATTTAATCAAATTTTACAATCAATATTAAATAAAAGTCATTTTTTATAATATGGTTATCTATTGGTTCCCTTTCTAATTAGTAATGTCATGAATGTTCTGGAACCTCATTGTTTTCCTTATCATATAAATTAATAACTGTTTTATAAGTAAGGAACACTAAATTTTTGAGATTACGTCATATTTTCATGAAATTTGTTTTTCCGTGACAAAAAACGGTTTGGTCAACAGTTTTCTAAAAAGCTAGTTGTACTAGAATCTAATACAGTTTTCTAATCATCCGTGTGATTATAGCTGGCCATTAAGACTATTTTTCCGATATTTTTATGTAAAATTTAAAAGATTATGTCATATTTGCCGCATCACAGCAAGTGTGGTGCAAAATTAATACTCATTCTTTTTGTATGGAACTGAAATTAACATCCCCAGTTCTTATTTCAAAACACCTGCTTGTGACGTTAATCTGGTCGAGTAAGGTTATTAAGTCTTAGCTTTCTCGTGTTTACTTGTTTTTTCGCAGACTGTAAATGCATCATGTTCGACAGCACTTACAACAAGGACTACGGAGTTTTTACTTCACCTAATTGGCCTGTTCCTTATGAAGACAACATCAACTGCCTACTCTACACTTTCGTCGCGAGAGAAAATTACCTTATAAAAGTGATTTTTGAAGAATTTGATTTAGGTCGATCAAATTTAGGGTTAGTTCAATTATTTTCTTATTCTCACTATTGCGAATTTTTAATCACTTGTTCTTTGTTTTATTTGAATTATTTTCTTAACATTTCTCGCAGTACATATATATATGCAATACTCTTTTATGGAAGTGGGAGTCTAGTCTCGTATTTCAATCTAAATTATAATTTTGGATTCTTATATTACATGTGCCATTGAATTTCTATATCGGTATTAGGCCCGGCATGGCCAGGTGGTTAGGGCACTCGACTCGCAATCTGAGGGTTGCGTATTCGAATCCCCGTCCCACCAAACATGCTCGCCCTTTCAGCCGTGGGGGCATTATAATGTGACGATCAATCCCACTATTCATTGGTAAAATAGTAGTCCAAGAGTTGGCAGTGGGTGGTGATGACTAGCTGCCTTCCCTCTAGTCTTACACTCCTAAATTAGGGACGGCTAGCGCAGATAGCCCTCGTGTAGCTTTGCGCGAAATTACAAACAAACAACTATATGGGTACTTCGTGTTGTTTTTTGTTTTTTTCTGCATTTTATCAGATCCTCTATCCCAAATTTGTTTTAGATACACGAAAGACAATGCTATTTATTAAACAGGAAATAAAAATATTTTTAACTTAGAACACGTGAAAGAAAATTACTTGTATATAACTGGACAGCATAATTTCAAATTTTGTATTCAATAATCTTGTCGTTCTTATACTTGGATATTATACATATACAAAGAGTCGAAGAAATAATACAAAATCTTTCGTTAAGAGTGAGGGAAAGTATATTATAAACATCTCATCTAAGAGTATGGCGAATAAGAGTTGTGAGCTATAGAGTTACATTTTTTTTATTAGATATTTTTTATTTAAAATATTTTAGTCATACGTCAAGTTTGCTTACACTATCTTCAGTACTGAAGACCAAGTAACAAGCAAAAATGACGTTGAACTTTCTACTAAAAGAACAAATAGCTTGCCTGGTTATATTTTTATTTAAAAAATATTAAGATAAATAGTTTGTTCTTTAATATTATTTGTAATTTGCTTTACCACATCTTGGCTGAGAAAATTAATGTAATGAAATGTATGATCTTAGATGTATCAGAATCTATTGGATTAATAGTCTTGTTTACTAGCAGTTCCATCCGAGTTTTCTATGTTTATTAAATATTTTATTCTAAAGGGTTCAAGTGCTCAGACGATTTATTTTAAATACCCGATACAAAACAACAGGATGTATCCTGAGATGGCATTATAATAGTTTGTTTGAAGATATGAATTATTTATGGGTTCAAGTAGCCACGTTCCACTTCCATATGCCAAACTACTTATAAATTGTTGTGTTCGAAAAAGTGCTAAATTTGTGTTAGAATAAAGATATGTTTCGTTCAAAACTACAACCAAAGAAATTAATTTTCCAGTACAAACAAATTAAATAAATAAATAGACAAACATGATAGCTAATAATAATATTTTGTGTACTGAATACTCAATCGTCCTCCTAAAAATTAAAAACAATTCCTTGATCGAATACCTGAAGATATTTCTTGCAGAAGTTTTAAAGGTATATATTTATTTAAGAATCAAAATATCAGAAACAAAGTAAAATGCTTATTTAAGCTCTATGTATTACAAACATTCGATTAGGAAAATTAAAGTACATCTAATATTTAAAATATTTGCTTTTAGAGATAGAATCGTATCACGTGAAAAGAATTATCATTATTATCATTCAATTATTTTTATTGATTGAGCCACAGTCAGTTTATATGGTTGAGGCCTAAAACCTTTAGTGTATTTACTCTGATAACGTTTCTATTGCAGGTGTAAGTTTGGAGATTATGTTAAATTATATCTACACTTGAAAGAGCCTTTAATAAATCAAAACACCAGCTACAATACCTTTCTCTGTGGTAAACTGTCAGATATTCAACAGACCCACTACTCTTCTGGAAATACTCTCATCTTCGAGTTCCACTCAGACTGGAGACAAGAAAACAATACAGGGTTTCGAGGGACTTTCCGTTTTCTTAATAAAAGTAAGTAGTTTCATGCTTGTTTTTTTTCTTCTAAAAATCCAAATGACTAAACGAAGAGTATCGGTAGTTAATTTTCCAAAACTAAAAAAAATTGATTTTATTTTTGGAGTATAACAAACTTCGTCTATCGTAGATGGATTTATATAACTTACTAAACAATCAAAAATGGATTATTGCCCACAACCTAAATATTTTTTTTTCTGAACAAATAATTTACTGTACGTGTCAAACCTTCTAAAACATAAATAAAACAAGCTGTAATAATTTTCACATACACTTATACATTTTGGGCCACCTACTTTACTATCAGAAACAGTTCAGCTTTTCTGCACACGCTGTTTCTTAAACAGCAATGTTTTAACCTTTTTTTTTATTTTCATTTACGTCTTTAATCTTATCTAGTTTGGGGTCGGTCGGAATTTTTTTTAAGCCAAGAATTCTCATTCGGCTTGTTGTCAGGACGAACATGTTCGGTGACGAGGATTCAAACTAGCCCTAACCAATGGGCAAACCTACTTGGTCATATTATGTGTTGTCATCAGTCCAGTTAGGTTAGTGGTAGAAAGTGTAATACAGAGTGACTTTATATTCAAAAACGGAACTGTATCCGGTGTACATTTTTATGTATATAACTACTTTTATAGTTACAGCAAACACGTCCTGCCGAAGAAAGACAAAGTTGTGCTAGAGGGCATTTCTCATCATTGTCGTAGCTGGAATAAAAAAAGATAATACAGCTTGCTCGATATTGTTGTTCTCATAAGCTGTTGTCTTTTCATGCGATGTGAGTCTTATGTCTCATATCTCTTTTCACGAAAACTTCTTACGACGTTTGGGAACCTCGAATATTTAACTAGGATAATGTTAAGCTAAGAACAAAATGTTCAAGATGTATTAGAATAAATGTAAATAATGAAAAAAATATAATTAAACTGTAAATGTTTTTTTTTTTCATGTAAAAATTTGAACAAAGAAAAAGGAATAATCAAGTACGTTTATTTTACACGATATAGTACGTTTATTCTTCAAAATATAAACAAAATGACAAACTATTAATATTCTGAACAGTGACAAAAATAGCGTTGATACATAAGATCGTACTAGCAAGTATAAAGCAGGTGCAAAAGGAATGTATTTTAGATATCTTGTTTAAACATTGTTGGTATAAATAGAGATTGTGATTCTATAACTAGAATAACGGTTAAACTATAACGTGCAATAGTTTACAAGTGTCACAACAGTGTAATGACTATAAAAGTAAAGACAGTTACACTATTACCAGTAGTAGTAGTTCGATCACTCATAGCTACCAGGAGTTAAATACTGCATTAAAAAACAAACGCTTCACTAATCAAAGATTCTGCATACGAAAGATTTGTGACAATACATCATGATTCAGTAGCAACTGTGTGCAGGACTCTGAAGAGGGTGTGTGAACCTGGCAACTAATAGAAGTGGTCGAAGTAGAAAACCGAAATTCTCCAAAAGTGATGTTAAGTATCTCATAATAGGTTATTTACGAGGAGGATGATGGATGAGTACAAATCTTGTCAACAGGATATGTTCTTTACGATAAAGATGATGGATGAGTACAAATCTTGTCAACAGGATATGTTCTTTACGATAAAGATGATGGATGAGTACAAATCTTGTCAACAGAATATGTTCTTCACGAGGAGGGTGATGGATGAGTAAAAATCTTGTCAACAGGATATGTTCTTTACGAGAAAGATAATGGATGAGTACAAATCTTGTCAACAGAATATGTTCTTTACGAGGAGGATGATGGATGAGTAAAAATCTTGTCAACAGGAGATATTCTTTACGAGAAAGATGATGGATGAGTACAAATCTTGTCAACAGAATATGTTCTTTACGAGGAGGAGGATGGATGAGTAAAAATCTTGTCAACAGGATATGTTCTTTACGAGAAAGATGATGGATGAGTACAAATTTTGTCAACATAATATGTTCTTTACGAGGAGGATGTTGACAAGATTTGTACTCATCCATCAGGATATGTTCTTTACGAGAAAGATGATGGATGAGTACAAATCTTGTCAACAGGATATGTTCTTTACGAGAAAGATGATGGATGAGTACAAATCTTGTCAACAGGATATGTTCTTTACGAGAAAGATGATGGATGAGTACAAATCCTGTCAACGAAGTTACAGTGAATACAGTTGTGAATATTAGGTCATGAACAGCATAATACAGCTTAGCATGAAGTGGTATCAATACTGTATAGCTGCTCGAGAGTCACTGCTGGGAAGAGGCAATCAATTGAAATGGTTTAAATGGACATTGGAACACAAACAGTGTAATAAGTAAAGCTAAGATATGTGCGCTTTACAAATGAATAAAAGCTCTAACTGTTTCGGCAACAACCAACAAAAAGTAAGCTTGAAGGCTGAGAAGAAAACGGATTTATAGTAAATATACAACAGTTACAGTAAAGCATGGTGATGGATCAGTACCAGTTCGGTGTCGGTGATTTACAGAGAACTGATGCTACACTGATTGCTGACAAATGCAAGCATATGCTGATTCATCATGTCATTCCCTCAGGAACACGGCCCATCAAGCAAGGTTTCATCTTCCAGCAATAAATTGACCACAAGCGTGTATCATATGCGGTGAAACGATATCTTTACGCTAAAAAGGCCAATAACATTCACAAACATGGCTTAGTCTGCACAAAGTCCCGATATAAACATTTTTTAGGTTTATTGGGCTTATGTATAAACTGAGACGGTAGCTTATTCGTTTTCCATTTGTACGTTTTTTGTGATTATGTTTGGTACCGTTAATACATTCACCACCTATTTGTACAGTGTATTTGCGTGTTGTTTGTGACTCCAGTATGTAGGTCGCTTATAAATTTCTATAACTATTTTCATTTCTGTATACGTTATATTCAAAGCTCTAAGTGATATAAATAAAATTGATAATAATTAGAATTCACTTGCTTCATTTGGTTCACAACAGAACAGTCGTTGTTCATGAAATGTCATGATATATACAGCGTCTAGACCACTACTATGTCTGTCGTATTCCAGCCAATCTAATGAACCATGGTATTGCCACTTGATATAGTGGATGTAGTGTGGTTGACATATCATAACATATTCTCTTTTGCTTTCATTCATAAGTTCTTAGAATTTTGAACACACTTACTTTTATTTATACGGTGATTTCATCTCTTTGTATATAAGCCTTTGGAATGAAGTCTAGAAATGAAGTAATGCGTATAAGAAAGAAAAAAACTAGAGTTTTAGTGTGAAACATTAAAAATTGACAATAAAAAATCTAAATTATTAAGATAAGGTTTCGGACTAGACCTTTAAAAAAACGATATTTTTACTGTTTTCTTATTTTGCAGAATTGAAATAGCTCACTGTTTAGAAGCTGTTTTTAACAGTATTAATTTTTTTTCTCGAAATTTAAACAGTTCTTTTCTGTACATACATTAAATGTTTGAAACGTGTTTTAGGAAGCAATCTCCTTTTAAAGATATGTCAGAAGTCAATGGATTTTTCGGACCATCTATCTATTAAATCAAATATAGTGTTTTAGCCTGTGCTCAGTTGCGTTCCTAAATTAATTTCTAATTAAGACAATGTCACTTCGACGTCACACTCGATCAGACAAGGTCAATAGGGGTGTTGATATACTTTCGATCTGTTGTCCTTGACCTTACTGAACAACAACATGCACTTTCCAGCCATTTGACCATATAACAGAAAACCAAGAGAGTCAGAGAACACTAAGGAATTGGAGAGGCAAGACTGATACTTAATTTATTAAAAACAATAAAGCAAACGTTTAACAGTTCCTGTTTTCTGCCGAGTATAAAATAAGATGATATTGAAAAAACACTATACACTTCCTTTATTGTCGTGAACTGAGACATTTGTTTTGAAATGTATTGAAATCAGCCAATTATTCATACATTAATAATTATTGTTTAATTGTATTCTCTTAGCTATGTTAATTTCTCTGACCTTAGATCGTTCTTCTGTAGTTGAACTTTCTCAAATATTATTTTGACCCTTTCATTGGCTTTTCCAATAAAATGATAAGTACAGTCCACATTCTTAGGGTAAATACTGGGATACTGCGGAGAGAAGAAGCGCCCTCTACTTTCGTTGATCACATTGCTAGCAAACTTGTAGTCACATTTGGTACCATTTATAAGTTCACCAGCGGTTTCAAAAAGAGCTGAAATAAAAAGCATTGCTTATCAAATTCGAAACACACACACACGACCTGTCTCTTGTAACACTAACAAATACGGTTGAACGGGACACATACTCACATGTACGACAATACTGCAGCTATATACTGTTTAAAAGATAAAATTAGGAATTTTCATACAAATTGCCCCCTCAGTGGCACAGCGGTATGTCTGCAGACTTACAACGCTAGAAACCTGGTTTCGATACCCGTAGTGGGCAGAACACAAATAGCCCATTGTGTAGCTTTGTGCTTAAAATGAAACAAACAGACCATAAAAAATTTAGCTCCCTAACTTATGTTATTCAGTATATATGAGAAACAACAGTATGTTTATGATGTTTATGATCTAGCTAACGTAACCAGTAAAATATATATAAAACCAAAAATAATACTTCATTAACTTTGAAATCAACTAAAAGATATTTGCTTCAACATTTTATCTAAAGCTGTTTGTCCATACATTCTATACGATATTTATACAATAACATCGTAAGGTTTTAATTATAATAGAATATATATGTCCTTAGTTTCTGTCTATGTCTGGTATTTAGTTGCTATGTTAACCTGTCTCTACGTTGGCGGAGTGGAAGCAACGTTTTCTTTTATTTAGTGAGTTAATATAAGTTCTCTGTACCTTTTTATCTGCTTTTGGTGACACTTGTATAAGTGTTTGGCTATAGCTTAAATAAAAATGGTGCAGACAGGGTAGACACACAGAGGACCAAATGCTCTATTATGTATTTATTTTGTAAAAATAG